GTATCTATAAAAAGAATGTATAAACATAAAAATGTCTTAAAATATATATATATATATATATATATATATAGGATGGGGAGATATAAACACAAGCGTCGGTTGTAATTATGTAACGAGGGAAAACATTGAAGATGCGGAAACACTGAATTAAAAATTTCTGATTTTGAAATTATTTTTTCGTCAGACGTGTTTGGATGCACAATTTAACTGATCTCATTCAGTTTCTCTACTTTTTTTCTTTTTCTTGTTTTAATTGCTTTTGGTCTTTACGCATCCAACATTGTGAAAAGATCTGCTCAAAAAGTTGTTACTTTAGTTTGATGAAGTCCTTCTACAGGTCGAAACGCGTTACACAGATTTTTTTTTACACTTTCTTATTCAATTACCTAACAATGTTCTGATATATAGAAATTTAGATATCATATTCACCCATAATAAAGAAAATAAATCTGCAGAGAGACATAATCGCCGATCGGACCCCTGAACTGCCGCCAGTCACGATGAACGGATGTCTTCTTCGATAGCCACCGTGTCTTGAAAACTTATTGGGCCTCAAACTCACACCTGACCCCAAGTGGAACTCGTACATAGAAGCCATCGATACAAGATACAATTAAAATAGTTGGCTCCCCGTACTGCTCCAGTAAGTACCTGAGTGCACGTGCTATACTCTACCTTTACAAGAGCAAGATTGGGTCTAAAATGGAGAACTGCTGTCATATATGGTTAGAAACAACACAGATCGCGTTTTTCAGACTCGATAGAGACAAAAAGCGTTTCCGAGCCTTGTGGTGTAGGGTGACGAATTATTTTTCACCCCCCAACCTTTCTTTCACAGGCGGGATATGGCTCTATCGCCACTTCCACGTAAAGTGCTCAGACCAACTACACTCCTTGGTTCCGCCAGACATAACCTTCACGGCTAGGACCCGGCTTACCACTTAAATAGCAAACTACCGACATTCCCTCCGTGTTCCATCGGTGAAAAGTAAGTTCCATTCGAACAGCTTCTTCCTGCAAACCCAAGAGCCGACACCCAAGAGGATATTTCCCCGATCACTACAATCTTAACTAAGTCTAGGGTTAACCGTTATTTTCACCTATTTATACAATCTGACTCTTAACGTAACTCTCTACCTCCAGTGGCCTCTTGTACAGGGTGAAAATTACTGTAAAAAAATGACCTAAAAAGTCATAATATTAAAAAATGAAGATAATTTCGTAAAGCCGGCCTTTTTTGAAATTAGTGCCTTTTTTTTCCTTTGCATACTTCTGTAGTTAACATCTACTTTTCAATGAAGCTAGTCTCTGGAAAACGCCTATTATTTTATCCTTTCTTCATACACGTCAGGAATATTGGCACTGAAAGGTGTTAACGATCTTCTACAAACAGACAGAAAACAATGACTTATTATCTTCGGTTTAGTTTACTGTTATCGAGAATATCTAAGAAGTCTGTTGATATCAAAGGTGATGCGGTCACAAATTATTTGGATTTGGATTTCTTGCTAAACTGGGCGTCGGTCCAGCTATTATTTTATTTTATTTATTTATTTATTTTTATTTTATTTATTTTTTTAGCAAGTTGGCATCTTAGTCATCGACCTCCGATCCATTGCGATTACATTATTTACATCTTTGTCATATTCTCATATTTATTACAACGTTTCGGCCGTTGTACGCTACCGGCCTTCTTTAGGTGGTTGGAATGTCGAACTGAACCCTTTATTTCGCTCTCCGGGGTAGACTGTTCTAGTTCCACGTGCCATGTTTAATGGATGTCAGTTATCTCCTTTTAATTCCCCTCTGCAAGTTCTCCACTGCCTTAACCGGGTATTGAACTCACACTGGATCTAACTAACTATCCACTGTGCCATGTGTCACAGGATCTAACTAACGCCTTTATCCACTGTGCCATGTGTATGAATTTCTGTGTATTATAAACCTAATATCTTCAGCTCCCATTTTTACCAGTGTTCATATTGTAATTTTTGCTGTTATCATGGCATGTTTTTTACCAGAGCTCATATTGCAACTTTGTTGTTATTATCGCTTTTCTCTAGCACTCCTTATTACTGGTTCCCATATTGTATTTATTTCTATGCTTGGTCGGCTCAGGAGATTTTTGTGGCCTAGCATATGTGCTGATTCCTTAAGTTTACGAATTTTCTAATGGTGTTCCTTCTCTATGATCTCAACCTGATCCCATAGAGGGCAGTGATCTCCCTTCTCTCTCCATATGTGTTCAGCCACGCCTGATTTTTCCACTTCCCCTCGTGTTACAGCTTTCTGGTGTCTTGAAGCCTTACCTTAAGGGGGCGGCCTGTCCCTCTTTTATATTCCTTCCCGCGGCTGCACAGGATAGCGTACACACAGTCTTTAGTCATGTTCTCCTCTATGGGGGGTCTTACTCGGGAGAGATATCTGCGAAGTGTCGTCAAGCTTTTGAAGGTTGTCCTGATGTTATATGGACCGCAGATCCTTTGTATTTTCTCTGATAACCCATTCACATAAGGCAGGCAGACTGTTTTCTGAGTGTTGTTGTCCTCCTCCTCTTGTACCCGCCTATCCCAGTTTTGGGGGGCTGCCATGTACCCAGGGTAGTTGTTACGTTGTAGGGTACTACTTATACTGACCAATTTTTTATCTAATGTCTCTGGGTCGCCACTTATGACTTTTGCTCGGTGTTGTTATTAATATGGCGACAAAGATGAGGACAATAGTCCGAATAATGTAAATAATGTACATAATACCTCATCTCAAAAATATAGACAGCCATTACGATTAGTTTTGAATTCACTATCACATGACACAATAGATCGATCTGATAGGAAGTTAGCAGTATTAATACTTGATTAAACTTGAAATTCTCCAATGAGAAATTGATTCTTTTTCTTCTATGTCCCGCGTTTCCCTTCAGGACGTAGGTGATCATGGCTCCCCACAACTTACGGTGGACAGACAGTAGTGTACTGGACATTTGCGTCCCGGACAATTGCGTACCAGATAATTGCGACCCCGGATATTTGCGTCCCTAGACAAATGCGTTCCTCGATAATTGCGTCCCCTGATATTTGCGTCCCTAGACAAATGCGTTCCACGATAATTGCGACCCCGGATATTTGCGTCCCTAGACAAATGCGTTCCTCGATAATTGCGTCCCTCGATATTTGCGTCCCTAGACAAATGCGTTCCTCGATAATTGCGTCCCCGGATATTTGCGTCCCTAGACAAATGCGTTCCTCGATAATTGCGTCCCCGGATATTTGCGTCCCTAGACAAATGTGTTCCTCGATAATTGCGTCCCTCAATATTTGCGTCCCTAGACAAATGCGTTCCTCGATAATTGCGTCCCCGGATATTTGCGTCCCTAGACAAATGCGTTCCTCGATAATTGCGTACCTCTGATAATTTTTTGAATTGCCATTTTTAAAAATTTGTTTAATATAGAGATTTGCACATCGATACCTTTAATTACTCTAAACAAGCAGAAAGTTAGTTACCATAAATAAAAAAGAGAGAAAAAAATTCTTTTTTTAAAGTAAGAGAAAATTAAGCGAGCAGTTTCTGTTCACTCCAACAATGCGTACTACAAATATCTAATAGATTCTAGATTTTATACATTATATTTTTATTTGAAACCCATGGCTAAGTTCCGAAAATCAAACACCGGCGGAAAAAATATTTCTGGACAAGGAAAATTACAGCTACTACTGTCATATTTTCCTTTACTGATTAGTAACATATTATAACATACCCAAACTTTATTTTCTATCGAATAACAGGCAATATTTACAAACAAGCAAAAAAAAGTCCTGAATACAATACACACCGTTTAAATTATAGTGTCTATTGGTTATAAATCAACATCGCCATATGAAGTATTTGACCAATGTAATTTTTTTCGATCCTACTTCCGGTAAAGATTTTTTATAAAATCCCATAGATTTCGACTTTCACCAAAGATGCTTCAAGCCGTTCAAACACAAGAAAAATTCGTGACTACATATCTTTTTCCTTCTCCACCTCAGAGCCTGCTGAAAGAAACATATGTCGGCGACTTCAGATGAATCATCTCCAACAAAAACAGCAGGGACGGTCAGTGAATATTTGCTAACGATCACAGTCATTTCTCAACCACAGATTTTTACTGTGGACCAACTACATAAAATTCTTTTCTCAATCATAGCTTTGACTGTGGACCTACTACTCAAAAGTCTTTCCACCGCCATTTTTTTTTTTTTACTGTGGACCAACTAATAAAAGTCTTTTTTTAAACTCCAGATTTTTCTGTGTAGCAACTATTCAAAGACTTTAACTCAAATGAAGACTATTTTTAATCCTTTTTTTTTTTTGACGCTTTGAATTCCTGATAGTAAATACAAATAATTAATTTAACATGTAAACTATGCTTTACTTATTTAATTTATTATTCTTAGGAATTAGGATGTTGGAATTTTTAATTTAAAAAAAAAAACTGGACGAGCGAATTTCCTACACCCATTTATCTCTTTATTTAATCTGGCGTCACAAGGGTGAAAACGAAAATTCAGGCAGGAAGAAAAATGAAAAAAATGAATCAATATATATATATACATATATATATATATATAGATATATATATATATGTGTGTGTGTGTGTGTGTGTGTGTGTGTGTGTGTGTGTGTGTGTGTGTGTGTGTGTGTGTAAGGAATCATACGTTTCCTACACCCATTTATCTCTTTATTTAATCTGGCGTCACAAGGGTGAAAACGAAAATTCAGGCAGGTAGAAAAATGAAAAAATGAATATATATATATATATATATATATATATATATATATATATATATATATATATATATACATATATATATATAGATATATATAGATATATATATCCGTGTGTGTGTGTGTGTGTGTGTGTGTGTGTGTGTGTGTGTGTGTGTGTGTGTGTGTGTGTGTGTGTGTGTGTTGAATCATACGCTTTAATACGAGGTTTATGTTATTCATTTCCTCACCTTTCAAAATGGATAATCCAACTCCTTGTGGAATGATCACTTTGAGGATATCTCCGAATTCTTGTCGGACAAAATGCTGCAGCATTGGTGATTCGGCAAATCCTCCTACCAAGAACAGGTACTTCAAGTCTGAAAAGAAATAAAAGTTCAATATTATGTTCTTGAAACTTTGGATTTTCCGAACTTAAACTATAGCGTGAACCTTTTTTTTTTCTCTGTTTCAGGTATTTTCTAACAATTATCATCTACCGTAGTGACGTCGTACTAAAATCAAGCAAACAAACATCTGGACTATTACCATAATTTATACTATGGTAGGCTTATAGAACAACAGTCTTGCCGCTCCTAGAGATTTTGATTGTTTTTTATTTGATCTTTTTATTTATTCTTTTTATTTCTTTTGGTTTCATTCTCCTTAAACATAACTTTTTTCACTCTATTTGATACATATGGATCTCAAATGCTAAAAACTTTCATATATTTGAATATTAGTGAGAATTTTCAAGTTGGAGTTAAACAGACACAGTTCATGTTGAGTTAATATAGAATTGCATATATATATATATATATATATATATATATATATATATGTATGTATACATATATAAATAAAAAGAAAGAACAGTAAGATATAAAATCCGCTGTTCTTATAGATATTTTTATTTTTACAAAATAGTGCTCAATGTAAATTTACAGAGCATTAATATTATAAATTAATTGATTTAAAAAACCATATTTTAAATCAATTAATTTATAATATATATATATATATATATATATATATATATATATATATATATATGACCCATTCAATATTTTAAGATGTATTTGACTTAGAAGCATTGGATTATCATCATGGACTGTATCATCCTTTGGAAGAACTTTAATCTCTCAAATCAAGGTAGTTAATCTCGGTGTTGTTGGGGCGGATGGTCTAACTTTACCAAAGGCGCAGCGGTGTTGCTAGAGTTAAAACATGAGTCGATCAGTTATCTCCCTTTCGTCGCACATTTTTTCGGATTTGAATATAAAGTCATCAGTGTCATTTCATGCGTGTCTTTTATGAAAATAACGCAAAATAATCAATTTCCAGCGAGAATAATCATATATGGCGTGGACTGTTCCTGAACTGAGATTGTTGCATTTTTTCGCCAGTGTTTGAGGGCCGAGGAAAAAAGAAAAACAGAATTTCGATTGCTAATTTTCTTGGCAAGCACCATATTTGGCCTTTGTTCATGGCTTAAGCATTGTCTTTTTCTGTTTTGCCTTTTGGTTGTTTTTTTTTTGTTTTTTAGAAATTCTGACAGACTTTTCTTTGCCATTTCTGTGCATCTCAGGGTTCTAGTCTATATGCAGAACACAAGACGCCAAATCTGTCTTCACTTCTCGCCGCACAAAGACTTTCCCCCCTGCTACAACCACCACTACCACCATCCACTAACAGCTTTTGCATGTCTTGAAAGATTTACGGAACAACGTTAACGGACGAACAAAATGAATATTTTTTTTTATCTTTATCTGGCGTTCCCATTAAATCCGCTTTTATCTGACATTTCCATTAAATCCACAATCTTCGTCTTCACGCGCACAAACACACGCACACACATTCGTTGTTCTTTCTCAAGCGCCCGCGAGCGCGGCAAATCCGACAGACGCTCGCTGCAAAACTGTTCTTTAATCAATTAATTCTGCGTGAAAAAAAAAAAACAGTCATTTCCTAGAAATATTGTTTTTATAAATACTAGCACAGAGTAAATGAAAGTTTTCTTTAAGAAATCCTGAGATCATGAGCCACACCAAGAGCCGATAAATAAATAATCAGTTTATTAACATGATAAAATATCAATGAAGAGGATTATTGTCTTGAGTTATAAATATTTTCCTTTTTTATCCACTTTTACTTTTATATATATATATATATATATATATATATATATATATATATATATATATATATATATATATATATATATATATATACAAATATAGATAACTATACTCGTTTCGAAAACGAGTATAGTTAGTTTCACTAGGTGTATCTATATATATATATAGGTGTGTATATATATATATATATATATATATATATATATATATATGAAGAAATATAGCACACGTTGCCTGACGGTTGCATCTAGCATGAAACAGACTGTCACTTCTAAGTGTTGACTTCTATGTTCACTTTTATATATATATATATATATATAATATATATATTAAGCATTTCACTCCAAGCAAAGTGGGATGCCACTAGTACGCAAGAGGTTACGGAGAGTGTGAGCGAGAGTAAAGAGGCAATGATAGAGGAAAGGATGACGAGAATAACAGGGAATAGGTCAGGGTATCTGGAGATGTCGATTGACATTACATTTGAATAGCTGGAAATTATAGCTATCAGGGAAACGAGTAATAGGAGGGGAATTCCACAGACGGGAGGTGCGAGACATGAAGCTGTTGGAGTAGAAGAGACGGCTACATTTCAGCGTTCCGACAGTGAAAGCGTGGGACCATGATGCCAGCCTAGAAGCACGCTTAAATTCATGCAGTCTGGGAATTAGCGAAAGTAGCTCATCGGAGCAGTTACCGTGAAAGTATTTGTAGAAAAGACAGTGGGAGGCGACGGCATGTCTGTGGGAGAGCGAGTGTAGACGAGATGACAGATCAGGACCAATCACAGTTCATATCCGCCTCTGGATCTTGTCGAGGACCTTAAGGCGAACAGCGGGGGCACCAGATCATATATGGCAGCAGGATTCCATGCAAGGGCGAATGGTTGATTTATAGATTTGAAGGATGGACTCCTCGGGCGAGAAAAACTTTCTGGCTCGACACAGAGAACCAACTTTCCTTGCAGTGGATGAAGCTATTGATTCAATGTATTTGTTCCATCTCAGGTCAGAGGACAGTGTGAGACCAAACAGTCGCAAAGAGGTGCTCTCGCGGAGTTGAACATATCTATCTATCTATCTATATATATATATATATATATATATATATATATATTATTTACTATATATTCATCATTATTTCCAATGACTTGTGCTGAAAATTGTCAGGCAGCTCTTCGATAATAATTAAAGAATCCAGCGCTTTGGCTTTCGTATCCAAAAAGATTTCCTTCGAAAAATGACGGAACTACCTATGGGAATGAACGAACGTCTCAGAATCCAGCTAGTCAAAAATCAACACGCCACCATCATCAGGGATTATGCACCAACTTTGAATGCTGAAGATAAGATCAAAGAAAACTTCTATTCTAAGCTTGATAACATCCTACTCTCTACTGCCAAGGAAAACAAGATCATCCTTTCAGGGGACTTCAGTGCCAGAGTTGGGAAAAGATCACAGAATATGGAACGGAGTAAGAGGTAAGGAAGTTGACAACCCCAACGGAACTCTCTTTCTCTCACCAAATGTACCGAACACAACTTGGTGATCACTAACACCCTGTTTCATCAGAAGAACAGATACAAAATCTGCCAACATTCGCGCTCCAAGAATTGGGACTTGAGTGATTGTGCCATCGTTTGATCCCGAGATCAGTAACATGTACACAAAATGAGGTTAACCTTAAATATGCTCCGGTAAACAAAGGTTTCAGTCTACTGGTCTGGTTCAAATTATTAATCATGCCAGATGATGCGATTTCTCCCAGAAACTATAACTAGTAATTAGGGTCAGCTCAGCATAGTTGCAGTATAAACCACAGGTGGGCTCTATGGGTCTTAAACAAACACAAATCTGTCTGAGCAGGGTTCTGCTAGTCGCCCTAGTCAACAAGCATAATCGTTTACGAGCGGCCATTATTATTATTATTATTATTATTATTATTATATACGTGTGTGTGTGTATGTGTGTATATGTCTTTGTGTGTGAGTGTGCATTAGAGTGTGCAGATTATATTTTATATCATAAAGAAACAATTTATACAAAGAATTAAATAGCAATGTTAATGTGATTAATGGCAAAATCACCACACTAACAGAACTTAATGAGATATTAACTTGCTATCAATTCCTTGAATAATAAGATCCTTATATTCAAGATGTCAGATGGAAGACACATGGCAAGTACTTTCGACAATTTCAAATTGCCATCTTCAGGGCGCAATTTTCCCATACATGGGCAAACACTAAGACGATATATATATATATGTGTGTGTGTGTGTGTGTGTGTGTGTGTGTGTGTGTGTGTATTGTTCCTCCTTGGTGCACAGTGCTAGCGAAGCGACTATGTTTACACTGTAACAACCGCAAGAAAACTGACGTGATCAAGTTGAAACTTCGATCTCGTGGCAACAATAGTAACAACTATAAGCATTGCATGTGCAGAAGGCATTGTGGCAAATTTGAAGATAATTTATGGCGAAAGTGCGAATTTTTTTACTTAACATCGTATACTGATTAATTGATTTATTTCAGGGAAGGATATATGTAAATCATTTTGAAGGGATAATGTGACGACATATCTATGTTTTGTTTTAATAATTCGTGTATATTCTCATCACCCAAGAACTTTTATTGAAACGCATTGATGGATTACTGCATGGAAGTGCTATTTTTTGTTTTGTCATTTTTGTTATTTTCTTTATATATATATATATATATATATATATGTGTGTGTGTGTGTGTGTGTGTGTGTGTGTGTGTGTGTGTGTGTGTGTGTGTGTGTGTGTGTAATGGATATTTAGAAGTGTAAGCACTCGTTGTAAATATTTTTGTCTAATTAATTCTATCATTCAGACTACTCCTCTTCTCCACCTGGTGTTTAAGAACTTCCTGTCAAAAGTATTTTCACATGAGTAATTACAACTGCAAAGAAGTGTGTATAAGTAATTTATTTCTGACGTCAATCTTGATGGAGAGTAAACCGTACCTACGTTCATAATTTAATCTAAAAAAAAAAAGCAGTGTTATAAAAACTCTGGAATTTTCACTGGTGCAAATAGTATATATTATTATTATTGTTATTAAGGATTTCTCAAATGCCCATATCTGCACTTTTTTTTGTATCCGAAGGGTATAATAATTTCTAATAAAGCAATAGATTTCTTATCCGACATAATTTCCAACGTTATTTTGTTGATACCCATGTTTGAATAGACGTCTTTCTCTTTCTCCCTTTTGCATACAAGGAAATGTGCGTGAAATTGTTTTACTGTCTATTTTTGGCTTTTCCTTTTCGGAGACCACATTTTTTATTTGACTGCATTGACTGCTCGGGAAACGAATGTCGAATGTTTCCTTATGATGAACCAACTAACATTAACATTACCAGTAGTAGTAGTAGTGGTAGTATATAGATATTTCCGCCAAATGTCTGACGGTTCCCTCTGGAGAATGAGTTTCTGACAGACCTCAGCCTGATGAATCATAATTCTTGTCAGTAGTATTCCTTTAAACTTGATTCAAGTGATTTTGGCAATGTTCCAAGTGCGCCAATTGTTATGGGCAAGACCTTAATCTCCGTGTTCTAAAGTTTCTTCCCGCTCTGATATTTTTCCAATTTTTCCTTTTCGATTTATTGCACTCTTTCGGATGCTGTCAAAACCATGTCAACAAGTTGATTGGTCCGTTTTTCCTTCTTTAATTCTGTCTGATCCGGGCACCTCACTTCAATGAGATGAATAGTGTGGATTTCGAAATGACATTCTTTCTTATTCTTTTTATTTTCCAAAACATTTTTTTCAGATATCCTTTGTTTACATAGCTGTAAGAAAGCTTCTTCCATAATTCCTAGTGTATGACTATCTCTAATCTCTTTTCTTTCGAAGCCAACTTGAAGAATTCATTTATGATATAGTGTACCCAAGCATCGTTTTTATTCTCCGCAAATGAAACATTTGATGTTAGTCGGGGATTTATCTATTTTTGGTTTAATAGAGTTTCGCTTCATGATTTTTTTCTGTTTCGGAATAAGAAGATTCGATCTTTCTTTTCTCCCAATGTCCACGTCCAAGAGTTTCGTTATTAATAAGATATATATATTCCTTTTAAATTCCCAAAGTCCAATTTTCTTTTTTTGCTTTCTAACGAAAATACCTCAACCGTTGCTATAATTGTCATGCTGTAATTATCTTTAAAATATTGAGAGTAATTGATGTCTCGTAATATTAGCCAGCGGAATTTGGTTCCTAAGACATCACTTTAGGTAAAGTTTTTTACAGATCCCACAATTATGATGAAGGCTTAAGATAAAATTATCTTCAACATATCAACAGTAATTCATGTCTCGTAATATTAGCAACGGAAATTGGTTCGCTAAGACGTCACTTTAGGTAAAGGTTTTCCAAATCCCACTTTTATGGTGGAGGATTATGTTAAAATTATCATTAAAATATCAACAGTAACTGATGTCCTGTAAATAACTGCAAACGAAATAGGTTCGCTAATCCGTCACTTTAGTTACAATTTACAATTCTCACTTTCCTAACAACGGCTTATGTTAAAATTATCTTTAATATATCAACAGTAATTGACGTCTCTTAATATTAACCAACGAAAATTATTTCGATACGACGCCACTTTAGGTAAAGGTTTTCCAAATCCCTCTTTCATGATGGAGGCTTATGTTAAAATTATCTTTAAATTACAAAATAGACAATCTGAACCATAATACGAGAGAACAATCTTTGCTTCTTACAAATGATGCGTTACGCAAATGTTTAGATGTCCATGTTTTAATTGCTGATAATGTCAAGACAATATTTCTATAATCAAGCGAAATAGCTCACCCGCCATATTTGACGTTTGTTTGTTTTGTGGCATATCATCTGATTATAGGTCTTTTAATACCAACATTAAATTTTCTTGCGAGCATTAGTAATTTCTTTTACAAGAATATATTGGTGGTATTTTTTTAATCAAAATTCATTGCTGCTAATCTTCTCTTTTTTTTTACAAAAATGCATCGCCAGGAATTTTTTTTACTATTAAAATTTATTTTTTTAAACTTTCATGTTGGTTTATCACCAGTTTATCGTTTAACTATTTGCCCATAGTTGACATCCGAACAAGTGCTACCACCCTATTCGAGACAGACCTGGTAACAACTGTAACTAATTTCACGCTCCTCAAAACCTTCCGATAACAGGCCTTGCTGTCGGATGTAGTTTATTGTCATCCCCAGGACAGATGTTTGACATAAACATGTTTCCTTTAGATGATTCATTTGATAACTGTTTAGTATTGGGTTTCTGGTTCCGTCTCCAAAGGTCTACCCATTTTCTTTCACTCACATTAACCTCTTGCGTCTTAGTGGCATTATCGCCTTGCTTGGTGTGAAAATAGTAAAAACAATGATACAATAAATAATAAATAGATGAGTAACGAGATTTTATCCATCGCCGGCTTGCTAGTCCTGTCGCGTAGCATACAGTAGCTGGTATTTCTCAACGGTCACTCATCTGACCAGGCTCAGCGTTGCTTAACATCGATTATCAGAACCGATGTTTCAAAGTCGTTTGACTGTTAGTCGATGCGAATATCAAGCTGTGATAGTTTGTTAAGAGTACCCCGTTCCAAAATGTCAGGTATTGATAATTTTTTTTTTCTTTCGATTTTACCTGTTTTTATTTTGTCATAATTGGACCTTATTCATTGGTTTTCGGCTGTAATAACAAAACATTTCATTTCTCTTCTTGTGTTTTCTTCCTTTGTGACATTCTTCGCCGTTCTTGCCTCTGTCGTCCTTTTTAGCACATGCTCTACCATTGTGAGTAGCTTCTGTACTTTTTTTTATACTTTTCTATTTGTACATTTTGAAAAAAAAATCTTTGAATACAACTCCTCGACTGAGTTCTCTTCGATTCGATTCTTTTGACATTTCAGTCCAGCAGTTTGGTCTCTGGTGTATAGAGTCACTAACTTCCGTGCATAACGAACCATCAACTTTCTCTTGTCTAGCCTAAAAAGAGTGCTCCGTATATCACTAGTAAGACTGACCACAAGTTCTTCCCTTTTTATTAAATTTCTAAAGTTTGGTTTCGAAAATCTTCGCTAACCTTCTAAAAATGTCCTTCCTTGTTTCCCTCTATTTTCTTCCGGATTTATTGAGTAACTTTTGTTTATTAAGAAAAATATTTGTAGCAGTTCTTAACCCTAGAACACTAACCATCAATTAAAGTTACACCACTACTAACCATGGGTATATCATACCCGATTTTGAAAATATCAAAAAAAAAATATAAATCTGAATTTGAAATATTTTACATGCAGGCACTTCAAACTTTGTACTTTGAGGTAACATTAATAGGAACTGAAAAACATATTATTTAGGTAAGTAAATCAGGTACTGAAAATTGTAATTAAAAATAGGAAAATTTGCGCTGGGTACTATATACCCATGGTTAGTGTTCTAGGGTTAATGACGTCATGCTTCTCTTGGTTCTGCTATCCATTCTCTCTCTTATAACGAGTCTTTCTTTTTGTCTCCCCCACTTCTGTGCGTTTACCGAATTTCATTCCACTGACATCGCTGAAGTTTTTAATCGATTTTAATTACTTTAATCAACGTTTTAATAAACGTAAATTTTACAGGGAACAAACAGCGTGGAAGCGAATCGAGAACAGGTTCGGTGAATGCACTATCTAAAAAGAGCATGCATTTTCCCACAGGAGCTATTTAACCTATACAGCGAGATGGTCAACAGCTAATGAGAAGAATTACCAGGACTTATTATTATAATCCGATATGTAGAAGACCATATCTTGAGAATAAAGATAGAAAACCAAAAAGAACAGATGAAGAAGAACATTTATATCGAGTGTGAGAGACGTTGTTCTACAGGTGGATGATGAGAATACCATGGATGTAACATGTGAGCAACGAGGAAGTTTAAGAAAATAAGGAACATTAAGTTACCTATTTTTGAAATATTGAAGTACATAGCTTTGTTATTTTCCTCTCTCTTTAAATATCATATTCATTCTGGACGTGGTCGATCATGTCTCTCCGCAGTTTCCGCGTTTAATGTCGGCAAACTCTATGTTGCCATGTCTTGAGACAGTGAATTTAAATTTGGATATATCCTGCACGTAACAAAGGTTAGAAAGTCTACACTGCTTTGTTCTTTGACTCGTGAGGGAAACATGGATTAATGCCTTTCCTAATGTTATGTCTGAGAAAGGAATAAAAATAGTCCCCGATAGAATTTGAACACTGATCACTGTTTTTGTTTTTCGCCTCTTTAATCGTTAGGTCCCTGTTGTAACCTAGAAAAGGTTACTGAATGAGGAATAACCAAAACAGAGGTTGGAAATGAAATGGTAATCTTTATAATATCAACAAAATACAATACTCGCCAGCGGCGTGAAGTAGGTAAACCACTGCGAGTGTTGGACTACATAGACAGCATATTGCCCCCACTTACAATAATGTCCACATATTTGCGAGGATTTGGATATACCAAGTAGTGTTCATAGGTACGGTGTATAATAGATATATAGTGTTATGGGACCTTACCCATAATAACATAGTAGACTATTCCATACGTAATAAATACTGCGCCTCAAGAGGAAGCAGGGAGTTCAGTCTGAAGTCTGGAGTGAAGTCCGCCAGGAGTCTGTCAAGCAGTCAGAACGAGCGAGTTAGTCAGTCGAGTCAGAGGCAGTTCGAAACAGAGTCGCGTTCAGACAATTACTACTAAACCTGATTGTACGTACTAACACTTTCTACCTCTCTGTATATATTTCTGTTTGTAATATATCTGTGTTATTCCATATCAGTATTCGAGTTCTTTCTTTATTGGTTCTACCTTGGACTATCACCGTGGTACCAGAAACAGGACCATAACAGATAGATAGATAGATAGATAGATAGATAGATAGATAGATAGATAGATAGATAGATAGATAGTGTTGTAACCTAGGAAGGGTTACTGAATGAGTAATAAACAAAACGTAGGTTGGAAATGAAATGGTAATCTTTATAACATCACCAAAATACAATACTCGCCAGCGGCGTGAAGTAGGTAAACCACTGCTAATGGTGAACTACATAGACAGCGTATTGCCCCCACTTACAAAAGTGTCCAACATATTTATGAGGAATGCGGAGATACCCATTAGTGTTCATAGGTACGGTATATAACAATCCCTGTCAATCACACTTAATTTTTAAAAGTTTTGAAACAAATAATAATAATGATGACTATTCCAAGAATTTTCTTCCAAGAAGATAATACTGAATGTCGATTTATGATTTGCTGCTGTTGCTATTGATAGTGAGCTCTTGTTTTATGGTTGACTAATAACAAAAGCCTGAACGACCTAATGCCATCCCACTGTGGTCTTTGTTCTGCCAAACTCGTTAAACTTGTGGCACCAGTCGATAGAAACGACAATATAAACGTTTTCTCATGTGACCTTGGTTGATTGCCTCGCTAGACTTATCTGCGTCTGTTCATTCCATTTTGGTATTTCAGATAGAACTAGAATTATTATTGAAGTCTTTGCCCAGAAGATTTTTTGCAAAACGTTTCATGGGCTTTTTTTAGCCACCTTTTATACGACCCTAACCCTTCAGGAAAAGAGCGATCATGGCTCTTTACAAATTTGTTGTTCTAAGCCATTTTTAATATATACCATCGCTCTTTGTCTGTGTTTCTGTCATCCATTCGCACGAATTCGTTGTTTCTCTCTGGTTCTCTTGCCTTCAGTATGTCTTGTGAGTTTTTAATTCTCTCAGCCTGTTTGCTTTATTGTTTTTATCATTTAACTTCGGACAAGGCGATAATGCCACAACTACGCAAGTGGTTACTGGGAGTGAATGGGGATAGAAAAACTTTAGTGAGGAGAAAGTACAATAAAAATGCAGGATTCAGGAAGATAGAAGATTGCGATTGACATTGCATTGTTGAAGATTTACAATCTTCAAAAATGCAGCCTCAGTCGCAGGAAAGAAAGAAAGCGGAATAGAGCCCCAGAGGTGTGAAATACGAGAAGCGAAATTATAAGAATAGAACTTACGGTTATATCTAGCTAATTTAAGAATAAAACGATGAGACCTAACTGCCAATCTAGTAGTACATTTCATTTCATGCTGTGGAGGTAGCACGGCGTAGAGCTCATTAGAACATGGAAATATTTATAGAAAAGATAGAGGGAAGCCATGTCACGGCGGTGGGAAAGTAACTGAAGACAACATTAGAGACATCTTCTTTGGATTTTGCCTTCCATAAGCATGGCCGATATTAACCTCCAGGAGATTGGCTCGTTACGTCTACTCGGGCTAACATTCTCTGCTGACATGAAGTGAAAAGACTATATTGAATCCATTGCTGGGTCAGCTGCTAATAAAGTTGGTCTATTGTGTTATGGTTCAATTTTACACTCCACTCTCTATTTTACATATCGATAAGGCTATCATTCGTCCCTTCATAGAATATTACTGCCACATATGGTGTGTTTCTCATGCTATATATTTTCTTGATAAAATCCAAAGAATCAGCAATATTATTGGTCCTGATCTGGCGCCTCAGCTTCAGTCAATCCCCCTACTGCTGTAAATTTGCTTACCCACGTCTTTTCTGTAGATAATTTCATGGTTATTTTTCGGATGAATTTAAGCGCAGTATCGGTTGACAACGAGGTTTCATCAATTTGCAATTGAAATGGCTTGATGTAACCATAAGTTCTAGGCTAACAGTTTATTTTCTCGCACTTGTGGAACTCTCTTCCGGCTCCATGCATCCCAGTTAACTTTAATCTTCAAACATTTAAATACAATGTCAATCGTTATTTGCTGTCCTCCTCATTACCCTTCTATTGCTCTTATTCCTTAGTAATTTTTTTTTTTTTTTGCTTTCTAATTGTTTCACACCCTTTGAGTCTTAGTGGCTAATTAATCTAATTTAAAAAATGTCTCTGGTAAAAGAACCAGAGACGTATTTTATGTAAAGAGATACTTAAACTGATTGTGGATCATCTTGTGGGACTGACTGAATAAAACAGTTTAACTTTGTCACCTTGTTATATGTTAAACAAGCATCTACTTCAGGTAGGTTCAAGTTCAGACAAAAGAATGGATCGTCAGATAAAAGGTACTCACGTCGTGAAAACCGTGATTGAAACAAAAGGCATATAAAACATATGCGTCACGTATAAAAATACATATCTCACATTTCCCCCTTGGATCTCTTCCTTTTAGTATGTCCCGTGAGTGTTAAATTCTCTAGATCTTTTTTTTCTCGTTGTGTCTCGTTCTGGTTGTAAATATACGATTCATTGCAGTTCCTCTTATCATTAAACTCCCTCTTTGCTCAAATTAAGAAAAGTGTTATACCTATATTATTTGATGCTGTAAATCTGCTTATTATGTGCTTGCTTTCTCATTATTTAGATAATGGATTCATTATAAAATTCTCTTTGGAAAGGTCTTATCACTAGAGCACACATGTATCAATTTAAATAAGAACACAGCATAAAAAAGAAATATAAATTGAATACAAACGTCTGACGAGTGAACGGAAATCTAGTGGAATAAAATCTTATAATGAATTCTAATTGTTTTTCTTGCAGTTTCTACTGTATTCTTTAGCTCCAAAGATTAGCACGGCCTCATCATGAATAGTAGCGATTTTATTACCAGGCAATAGCACAGATTCCAGCGACCTAAATTGTCGAAGTCTCAAATATAATCTCTCAACAGTATCTCTATCTATAAAAGGCAGGATGTGTGTGTGTGTGTGTGTGTGTGTGTGTGTGTGTGTGTGTGTGTGTGTGTAACGAATGAACGGCCGCAATTTTCGACGGATTTGCACCAAAATTTACATGCACATGCTCCAAGTTAGCGGGAAGGCCAAGACTGACTTTGCATTTCCCAACTCCCATCGATAGTGGAAATAATCGATTTTTTCATGCTTCTACGGCAGTTTTCATGTAGTTTGTGGCCATTTTGTACTGGCCAGAGTGAGAGCCTATAGCTGGCTGCCAAAATAGGCAGGAAGATTCTATTGGCCAGTGTGAGAGCCAACAGCTGACTGACACGAATGTTAACTAGCATGCTAGCATGCAAAAAAAATCTGCATGGCACATTACGCCAATTGGCTCATTCGCTTTCTTAAACTCAACGTTGATTCTGATTCCGCAGAATTGGGTTGGGTGGGAAAAATTATTTGTTGTTATCATTATTTTTTCATTCAGTTTTTCCAGTTACGAGTTCTTTTTTAAAGCTGATCGTTTTGTGTTCATTTTGTTTAATTCTTTTTTCATAACAGATTTAATGTTTAGTATAGAGCATAGAAAAAATTCACAGTGTGATATAGGCAAGAAGTAAGGCATGTAGCAGCATCAGCATGGCAAAAGGCACTCCTTTAAATGCAAGGAAGGGCAAAAATATTTTAAGTCAAGTGATAGCGATTGCTGTATGAGTCGTACAATTTTTGAATTAAGCACGGGCAACGTCGGGCCATGCTGCTAGTTCCTAATAAATTGAGCAATTGAAAGAGAACGGAATACTTTTTTTGTTAAATCAGGTGAAGAACTGAAAACATTCATTCAACCGCCTAAATCACTGAGAAGAGTGCTGGAGTATTGACGATACTTGCTGTCACTTTATCTGGAGGTATCAGTTTCGACGTTATCTGGTCAATTGTAAGGCTAGAAAATGTAAGACTGTTAGCAAAAGGAACATCCTGACATGGGAACGACGAATCAAGTACAAAAACGTCAATAGCAAGTGCTTTAACAGAGAAGGAAGAATGCACTTTGGAAGATCGAAAGATGCTTTCCAAAAGCTAAGCAGAGTATTAAGAAACAGGAAAATTTCGTTACAAACAAAGAAAAGACTACTGAACTGTTATGCAATATCGGCCCTCCTATATGGCAATGAATGCTGGACAATCTCATCACAAATAAAGAAGAGACTTGAGGCAACAGAAATATGGTTCTACAGAAGGATGCTGAGAATACTATGGACTGAACATGTGAGCGAAGACGACGTTTTAAGGAAAATGGAAACAAAATGACACTTATACATAGAACCAGAAAGCGACAGTTGAAATTTCTTGAATACATAATGAAGAAAGGGGGCTTGGAGAATTCTACATTCAAAAGACATATGGAAGGCAAAAGAGACGGAGAAAAGCATAGGATAACCTATCTAACGTGATTGTGTAACTGGGTGGCAACACAGGGATTAGAAGATAGTGATATTTAGCTACACCCTCCCACGAGGGTTACATGTGGCACGAGGCCGCGTTTAACGTGGAATCTCCGAGCCTGTAGGCTCGGCCAAAAATATTCCCTCTTTGAACCCGCATAAACGGGTTCAGGGGCAGTCAACCACCCGGAATGAGACTTTGCCCTTCAGCGGATCCTCATCTGGGTTCCTCTCCGCCCGAAGGCAGAGAGTTAGACTGTTAGCCAAGTTATTTACTAAGAGCTACAAAGACAGGAAGTTATAGAGAGCCATGATTTCCGTGTCCTGAAGAGATACGGCTCATAGAAGATAACCTAATCGAGATACAATGCTCATTATGACAAAACGTTCAGAAAGTCATTGGAATACTTGATGTTACAAGATATGTAGCTATGGAATTAGACGATAAACAGAAAGGGGTGTAAGACAAGGACTCATCTTCTCACCGGACTTATTTAATCTTTACAGCGAGGGGATCCCCAAGAAATCCTACCAGGATTCATTACTGGTAGACACACATAAGGCACAGGCTTGATGGCAGAGACAGAAAGAAAACTCTCAGAACGCATAGATAAGGGAGTAGAAGAAGGCTAGAAGAAAGGACTAACTAATAATTGTAAGAAGACAAATTATATAGTTGTTAGAAGAGGATTCAAGGTACGAATTGGAGACGTCAAAATCAATCTGTGAAGTATTTTAATAGAGGTTGAGACGCAGAAATCAGAAGGCATAGTGAAACAGCGAAATATGCCTTCCAAAAGCTAAGCAAAGTATTAAGAAACAGGAAGTGTTTGTTAGAAATAAAGAAAAGAGTACTGAACTGCAATATAATACCAATCCTCTCATATGGCACTGAATGTTTGACAATGTACTGACAGATGAAATTGAGACTTGGGTCAGCAAAAATGTGGCTCTACAGAAGGTATGCAGTGAATAACATAAATGGAACATGTGAGCAACAAGGAAGTTTTAAGGAAAATCGGAATAAAAAAAAGGACACTTGTGTTTAGGATCAAGTGGAGGCAGCTGAAAATTCTGTGATGCCTAATGAAAAAGAAAAGAGGGCTTGGAGAATTTGACACTGACAGGACATACTGAAGGCGAGAGCGGCAAAGTCGTACAGAGAGTAACCTACCGAACGAGATTATGTAAATGGATGGCAGAAAAGAGACTGGGAGAGACAGTAGAAGGACAAATATTTCTTAAAGCCATAAAGGATAGGAAGTTGTGGAGAATCATGACCACCTACGACCTCGTCGCATAATAGAATAGGTCGAATTATAATGGTGGAAGCAACAACAACAAAAACGATGATGATGACGATGATGATGGTGGTGGTGATTAAGACGATGATGATGATGTCGTTTTTGTTTAATGAATCATTTCATCGATTTTTGTTCGCAAATTTTAAAAGTTTAATTAATAAATTAATGTTCAATTAATTTCACTAAATTTTCGTTTTAATTTTCGGATGTCTTCTTCCTGTTTTCTTTTCTTCTGTTGGTAATTGTCTCCTACTTGATCCAAAATCCAAACTTTCTCGCAAAATAAATTTCAACGGCATTTATATTTTACTGGTATTTTGACTTGAGAAAAAAAATGAATCGTCTGAACATCCATGTATTGTTAAGTACACTGCTTATTGATTGTATTTTCAGCTGTTTGCTTGACTATCTCAAGGGAAATTAGGTTTAAAATTGTGCAAAACTGTTGACAAACAGAGAAAGTATACGTTTGAAACATAAAATTCAAACTCAGATACGAAAGGAAATATCGCTAAATCAAATAATAATAACAAAGATTATTCAGTAGCCAAAATAAGCAATATGAAAATATTGTTGCAGATAAACGTTGTACATGATGAATGGAACTACGATGCAAATACGACTTTATCCGTTAAACCTTAATCTTTGAATGTCATTCGTGAAAACATCAAATCCAAATCTATAAAATCGAATTTGACTCAGTATTTCACACCAGACCCCAAATGGATTGAGTGATTTGTTTGGGTTTTTTTACCCCTTATCAACCTCTTGCTGGTTATTTAAAGCCAGATAATATTTTTTTAGATTGTAAGAATCTTTTAGCGATAATAAGGATTTACATATACAAATCCTACTAATTAGACCATAGCTGGGGGGAGAGAAGAGATGGATTCATATTTTTGCCATGCGTATTTGTTGGTTATTTAAAGCCAGAAAATATTTTTTAGATTGTAAGAATCTTTTAGAGATAATAATGATTTACATGTACAAATCCTACTAATTAACCCATAGCTGGGGGAGAGAAGAGGTGAATACATATTTTTCCCATATGTATTTGCACGTAAGTATAACGAACCCGACTGGAATTCGAACTCGGCTCTCCGACTTCCAATTCCGAAAATTTATCCATTACACCACCCTCTCATCCAAGTTTACAGTACCTCGTATTCCAACGCTGTCACCCATCTAGATACTAAGGTCGATGTTGCTTAACTTAAATGATCGAATCTTTTATACTGATCCAAAAAGTACCTGACTTCTTCTGCTATGCTTTATCTATACAAGAGTTAGATTAGACCAAAGATGAAATTGTTCTGCCATATTTGGGTTGCAGCTATTTAATCTTCATTTTCCAGCTTTGATAGACTTTACGCTGCTTTATAGAAGGGGGTCACTTATTTTCCACTCTACAGCCTCTTTCTACAAAGATGCAAAGTCTCATGCTTATCACAACTAAATCGCTATTTCCTTGGCAAATGTTTACCTCCTCCAGTTCAGATCTTTACATCAAGGACTCGCTGTTCTATGTCCAGCGAGTCGAATCATCTCCATTTTCCCCGTATTCCAAATGTAAGGAACAAGTTCAATTCAGATTTTCTCCTGATACCCTGCAAAACATAGTTCTGTGTGGATGAACTCTACAATCTTAACCTCTTCAAGTCACACGTCAATTGTTGTCTATCCTC